TCGTTAGCTCCACCGGGCTTCTTGCGTCAGCCGGCTGCACCCTGAGCAAGGCACGGGGGACATCAGCTCAAGCAAGCACCATATGAACGCAGCTTTCCAGCCCCGGGGCTGGGGGCAAGCAGCTGTGCTTTGGATGGGAACTTGCGGCACAGACACCTTTGAGGATCTCTGTGCTTTGGATGGGAACTTGCGGCACGGACCCCTTTGAGGATCTGATGGGTGCAGCGGTTCCTGCCTCTGCTTGGCCCCCCACGCCCCAGCGCGCCCTGATATTGGGCACCGTCCCCCCCAGCCCACGCACGCCGGCGCTGTCACCTGCCGGCCCTGCCGGTAATTGCTCTCTTCTTCCTCCCATTAAATAAATACCTGTTCTCCAGCCAGCCCCCCTTCCAGGTGTGAGGCCAAGTGGGCGAGAAAGACAGCCGCGGGCAGGGTGGTGGGGGAGAGACGTATCACTCACAGGGCAGCGCTTGTCCTACGTGCGTAGGATCAGTTGGCCCCAAATCCTGCTTTTCGGAGGTGTTTGTGGAGGAAGGAGGCTAAGCTAAAGATAAGAAAGGAGTTAGCTGAGCATACTGTGGGGGGAGAAAGGCAGAAATTGCAAATTAAGCTTAATTAGCAGGAGATGTTCCTTATGAATGTATTCAAGAATGCTTTTCCCTGTAGTTTTTCACAGCAGTGGAAGTGTGAGCATGTTTTTACACATGGGAGACTGATAAAGGGTGTTCTTCTCTAAATACAAATCTCTGCCATTCCTTTTTAGCCGCCCAACGCCAAATCCTAGCTTTGTTTCCAATGGGTTGCTGAGCATACTCTGAGTCCGCTCTGCCTGCGTGTTCCTGCTGCAGGGACGCCAGAGCCCCTGTGGCCAGGGAAGCTCTTTTATTCCTGGGCAGGCTGTATCCCATCAGGATACTTAACTATTCCGTTCTCATTAATGTAGGGTCGTGGCAGTGACAGTCCTAACGAATCTTTCACCTTTCCTTCTCACTTAACTAATGTTTTGAAGAACTGGTAGGTCCTTTTTTGCCCTCTTGAACAGAAATGTCACTAGCTTTATTCTATTTCCACATAACCTTCTACATAAACTCCCTTGAATTATCATCTTCTTAGGTTCATTTTATTATTGTTCATTGCTTATATAATGGTGGGGCTTGGGGAAGGGGGTCATGCGTGCTGGGGTTCCAGTGACCTTGCCCCCCTCCCTCCTCCCTCATACCTTCTCCGTTAATCGCATTGTGACTTATGGCTGAGAACATCATATAGGCATAGGTTTGAATGGATTAATTTGAAGGACTGAAGCTTAGAAAGCCAGTTAGGGGCTTAGCTGCTCTCCCTAACTTCAGTGGGTGTTCTGGGGCTTTAAAGGCTGTTGTACTATAACACTGAGATGCTAAAGAGAATTTTTTTTCTGCTAAAGCAGAACAAATACCTGATATCTACCAAGATGACTTGTCACCAGGATTGCCATCGGGGAGCCAGATCACGCACAACCTACATTGAACCCCTGCTACTCCCCCAGAGCAGCAGCCACTGGCACCTTTCCCCCATCCCAGAAGGGGCAGGGAGGTGCATGTGCAACCCCCACAAATCGCCCAGGAAAGTTCACTTAGCTCACAGCATGTGTTCAGTCTTTCAGAAGATCACCGTCCCTAGAGCTCCTAGGGCTCAGCTATAGCTGGCGGCTAGAGGAGCTGCACAGCCCAGTGCCAGGGTTAGCAGGAGGGTCCACGCTTGGGCTGGTGTGCGGGAGGCCATACTCTGTAACCCCTGCTGCAAGGACATTTCTGCAGCTGTAGCTACACCAGGGATATGACATGAGCTGCCTGCACGAGAGCGAACTGCCCTCGAATTAGCTGTACCCAAGCGAGAGCGGCTGACCAGCGAAACGGCAATGCGAGCTGTGCGGAGTGACTGCATGAGTCACTGGCTGTGCTAAATCAAATACAAGAGATTTGATTTTCCATTTGGGAGGATTATATAATCATCATTAATTAAGCTTCAATGAGAAAAGCAGGACTGTAACTTGACATAAAGACTCAGTAGTCCCTTGAGAGGAGGGGAGGTGGCCCATGGGCCACTCAGAAGAGGAAGGTGGAGTTCTCTCTTTGCTTTTATGAGAAATGCCTACTTGTTCTCAGAGCAAAAGGGTTTTTTTTTTTAATTTGCAAATAGGAACTCTTTCCAATATTTTGTATATTTCAGGTTCCGGTCCTGTAGTCCAGATTTTAACATGAGAGATGAATGTATGCAAACGTCTGAGGGAGCCGACTGCCATCACTGTACCTGTTGACCAGTAGTACCTGATAAGGGGCAGAGTCACGTCAGCATCTCCAATAAATAATGCAGTGGCTCCCATCTGGTTTTGCCTGAGGGCTGAGGGGGGAGGCAAGTGATAAAGATAACCCTCCAAAAAATCCAAGGAAATGCTTAGCTCCCAGTATACAATGTCAAATTAAGTGAGAATAAATTATTTTACAAAGCAGCTTAATAGCTCACTCTGATAAGAAAAGATAAGGCAGGCTGGATTTATCCCTCCTGTGAAAATTGTTTGTACGTTTGCAAACAGAAAAAGATCTCTTCTAATTATATAACCAAATATTGGCTTTGATATCCTATTTCTGAGGTGACATACTTGCTTAAAACTCCTGAAAGGGACAACACCAGAGTCCTGCCTTTCAAAGTGTGCACCAATATAAAAAAGGACCACCAGCATCTTTAAAGTAGCAGATCTATCCTTTCATCCAAAATGCCTGAAGTTTTCCTCTTAAAGGAGGACGTAACCATTATGTGAAAAGAGTTCCTGATTGAGTAATATAATTAAATATTATAGTGGAATTTAAAATTGTGCATTTTTGTTCCCAATTACATGGAAACTCAGGAAGTATCTGGTTACTGGATGCTAATAATAGCAGATACTCTACCGTTAGCTGATATATCTCTTAGCGATAAGAATAACCATCAAGAAAATTATTATGCTGGGGAGAAAAAAAATCTTTTCACTCCCAGAACAATTAATTCAATCTGAATTCCTTTTTAAGAGAAATAAACAGATTTATACAGAAGATACATTGATCTTGAGCCTCCACAAGCATATGCAGAAACATCTGATAACAAGAATAACTCAAACTGAAATGAATGTTTTGATCAGAACCGACATCCACATATTATTATTTACTGTTAACAATATTGTAGAAGCTGCAGCTAGCACTCTGCAGCGCTTATGCCGGGCTCTCTATGGGCACTTAAGAAAAAAGGCACCATTTACTTGGGACTCATATCAACAGAGGATGGCGAGGGGAGAAACAGGAGGAGGAAAGAGGAGAGAGGAGATCAAAGTAGACAAGTGATGTACAGACACCGTCACTGTTACTCATCCGAAGCTACTGATTGCAGTCCGGCTTGCCACTAGCACTTTAGATTTCTTCATTATATATATTAATTGCTGAATATTCTGTTTATCTGTGGTCTGAATTTATTTATATGAAACTTTATACGAAACTTTATATGAATCTTGATTTTATTCTGGTCTGTTTGGCTTGTGTTTTTTGAAATCACTGTTCAGTTTGTTTGACGGTCACTAAGACTGGTTCTTTAAACATTAACATCTACTGACAAAATAGGAAGGAGGGATTTCTTCTTTCAAATGGCATAAATGAGAGGTTTGCTGTAATAGGAAGAATATGTTAGAAACATCCTACGTTAAAATAAGATGACCGAGCAACTGACTGCTGTACTATTATTAACCGAATAATGTGGCATCTGCGTTTTTTTAAACATGTTTTCATTCATTTCATGTGGCATGATTTGTATCCCTAAGGATAAAAATCTTTTTGTCTGTGGTAGTTAAGGGCTTGGTTCCTCATACATATTACTTATTTTTAACATCTTGTCCTTAGAGTCCGGGTCTTTTTTAAAAAAAAACAAAACCAAACAACAACAACAAAAACCCCTGGATATGGGCAAATCAGTTTCTCTCTGTCTTCTTATATGATATTTGCAGGTAATTTAATACTTCTTCTACAAAAGAATTTTGTGGTAGCTCTAGGAGCAGCAGGTCTGATAGGTAACCGGAAAAACTATTAAAATTCATGCTAAGGAGCATCAGCTAACTGATATATATGAGACAACTGTTTCACCTTTCTGATTATGTATTTAGCTTTGTCACATGACCTTCTAATTCCCTGCTCAGGATATTTCGTCTAGATCATTTAATTGTGAAGCACACATGCCCTCATTTACCCGAGCCCACCTGTTTATAGCCAGCTTAACATTTTCATCAGGCGCCTTCTGACAAAAGCACTCCAAGACCTGTATTTGACTTATAAATGTTAATATCATCATAGACTCAGACTTCATCCTATATTTTCCATTCCACTATTTTTCTGTGGTGCTCTCAGAAAGTTTGCTGCTGAACTTTGCTACTTCAAGATGTTGTGTGTTTCTTTTAAAGAGACTTGGAGAATTATAAAGTACGATTTTTCAGAAGGCATGCTTAAAAGATTATACCAGGATTTTTTTTTTTAAATTCATGTAATGATCTCTTTTTTTAACTCCACTTTAAAATTTATCAACAAAAAAAGTTGAAATTTGCTGACCAGCTGCAAAAGCAGAGCAAAACAGGTCGTGCAGATAGAGCTGTGGAAAGAACAGATACCAAAAAAATAAGTCAGGCAGCAAAGTAATTCAGAAAGAAATGTGGGATTTTTTTCTTTCAGTTATTGTAGTTGTTATTTTCAGATCAAGATGTACATTTCAAGGTGGTGACTACCCGCCTGCATCATCGAGGCTTTTAGTGCTTGGGCTTTGTGAAGGGCAGCTGAGTATGGAGATGGCACAGTAGCTGTTTGAAGACTAGGTGACTTTCAGCCAGGCCAGTTCTATCTCATCTCCTTGGACTTATTAATTCACTGCCACTAAGTTCAACATTCCCAAATGTTGTGATGAAATCCCAAATTTCCTACATGGCTGTCCTATATGATAATTATTACCCTTTTAGTATTGCATTTACCTCTTGGAAATATAATCCTGTTTTGTAAATGCCACATTCAGGGATGTATTCTGCTCTCTTCTGGGAGTACATCTCAGGCTTATGGTTGTTTACATCAAACAGCCGATGTAAAAAAGCCATCCGCTCTCTTTGGTGCAACTCGGTCTCCACTTTCTTCTGCAACCGGTGTCATTTGCAAGTCCATGGGTTAACTAACTAGGTTAACTTATCATACCTGTTCTTCGGAGGCTGAATATGCTTATCTTATTTTTATATCTTATCCTGCAAACATTTGCTACTGAACTTGGCTATTACAGAGAGGAACAGGCCCATTGACTTCAAATGTGACAACATATTACATAATAAGCTGGGAAGTAACTTTTTACAATGCCCCTAATGTGGGTTTATAGCAATTAATTTTTAAACAGGACTGACTAACTACAGAAATCGACAGAAGACTTGCATGAAATAATCATATCAGAGAAGAACCAATAACTCTTTACTCAGGCTTCTCCTGTTTCCTGTAGCTCCTAACTCTTTCTTCTTTTTTTCCGCCTCTTGTATTAATAATCCCATAGAAGCCCTTGTATATGCACATATACCCAGGAGCAGAATGGGAATACATATTCCTAGGAAGTCCCCAGAGCAAGTGTGCCTTATTGGTGAAAAGAGAATTTTGTCCATATTTTTTATCTTAATATCCAGCCAGCCATGCCCTCCAGACTCAACTGCAAGAGAGGGCTGTAATCTCTGCGGATGTTCACATCTGCGTTGCCTTCTCAGATGAGGAATCTTTCTTTCCCTTTTTGGCGCAATATATATTGTGCACACAGTGGCCTAAACCAGTTAATCACAGGTGTGAATTCTCCTCAGAGTACTTATTTTTCTGTCTCATATCCTGTTATCCTTGTTATCAGCTATGTATCGTTATTCTAAGGTTTTAAATAGGTTGAACTGGGTTCCAAAACCATATGTGATAAGCTGAGACTTTTTCCATCTCTACAATTTATGCTAGTGAACTAAAGCCCAGTGCAGAAGCACCCCAGAATAAAAATTGCTAGTTATCTCCTCCCCAGATAGATACAAAACTCTTCATTTTCACAGGAATGGACATAGTTACCCTTGCTTTGTCCTGTGCAGAAGAGACAAACTGTAGGAAACTTCATGAAATTGGGTATAGGGGCCTAATGGTAAGAAAAGATAGTTTCATATTAGCATTAATCCCTATCAGCATTAGAGTAACCCATCTTGGGGAACTCTGGCTGCTAGATAGGACCTTCTCTGCCGCCATGGGAGACAGTCGACTGGGCAGGGCAAGAGCCCATGGGGCCAGTTCCCACTGCAGCTTAGCACACCGTTTTCCTTCCCTGCTGTGGGAGCGGGATTACCATCTCTAAACAGCTCGAATTTGGATGAAGAATTTGCATTATGTCATTCTAACATGGGACTGTGGGCTAGCTTAAGGCAACACGTTCTTTTGGCAACGCATCTCTGCGGCAGGAGGTGCTAGTGGGCCCTCAAACCAACACAAGAGCCATGCAATCATGAAAGACAAATAAAAAACTATACACAAAATCTGTAGCCACATTGCATCCAGTTTTTCCTTCTGCCCAGTGTTTCAGGAGACAGCAGGCCATCTGCAGACTCACCAGAAATGCCCGGCTCTGGAAGGCGGTGCCGTACATGGGGTCCTCTCTGCTCTTCTTTAAAACTTGAGAAGAACTTGAGCATGCTGGGGACGGTTCTCTTTAGATGCAGAAAGGGAAGGTGCACTTCAGCAGCCGAGAATCACAAGCAGCCTCTTGCTCGCTCGATGAAGGCTCCCTGGCTGTGAGCCCTGGTGTTTTGCTGCTGATGACTTGACGAACTCTCTTCAGCTACCTCCCTTGCCAACGCTTTTTTTCACTGCCCTGTGGAAGTTAGCGCGCTAGGCATGCTGCAGCATGTATTTTTTTCTTGCGAGTGGTGAAAAAGAGCAATTGGATGCATGGGGTTACTTTCCAGAAAGCTGGTTTATGCTCTGTAATAAGGTTTGGCCTTATTTTTATCAGGATTAACCTATAAGATTCATACTTGAAGTTAAGCTCTGGTGTCTTTCTGCCTAACATGACTGACTTGGATTTAAATATATGCATATCAGCTTTAAAAGCTTTTAGAGCACTTCTCTGAATAAAATTAGTATTAGTACGCTTCAAGTGTGCAAAATATTCAGGGAGAGCAAATCTCATATGAGGCATGACTCTGGGTCCCGGTTTTTACCCTACCTAGTGCCTAACTCCACTTGCAATGGCTTTGATGAGGCTGTCCCAAGGGCTTACAGAACATCCCCGGGAAAGCAGGTCTGCTTCGTTGCGACTGTTCGTTTGGCAACGCCTCAGTTTTTAAAGGTAAGTGCGTACCCTGGATCCCATTCATTTTAGAACTTCCCAAAATACTTTCAGACAGGGTGACAGGCAAATTTCTTAATTTTGCTAATTGAATGGATTACAGATATCACATTTCATGCATAAAAATCCAGTGAAGAGGATTATCAGTGCGAGCCAGGATCTGCAGAAGCGGTGGCACTTCTGCCCCCTTGCACGGGAAATGGAAACTCTCGTTGCATTAGGAATTGCGAAGTCACTTTGAAATTGGGTTCTTCGTTGCTGCTTTCTGTTCCTGCAATGGGACAGTGTACAGATGGCCACCAAGGCTTTCAATTGTGCCCCTCGGTGTCTTTGGGTGACTGCTGCTAGTTTCCCAAATCCTAGTAGTAAGATAGTTGCTTCTGGAAATAAGGATAGACCACCCAACCTTGTGCCTGGCACTGTGGTTCCCTAATTAACAAATGTGACCTACTGCAGCAGGCATCCCGTCCTCAGAGGTTAAGAGATTAAAAAGTCTAATTGAGACCTAGCCGGTATGAAACCACTGCTCCCTTGGCCTGGCTCCATTACTGCTCAGGGACCTGCAGGGCACTCTCGACTGATTCGCAGCCCTGGCGGGCAAGTAGAGGCCCTTCTGGGTAAGTCAGTGAGGACACTTTCCCTAAATCTTAATCACAGTAACCGTATTAGCAGTAGAGGCTGGAGTTAAGGTTCTCCGGGAACCCTGAAAGCAAATTCCCTTGTCTTTGGGTCGCTAACATCTCAAAATAAACAGGGAAATGAAATGGGCTGCACATGGCAATGAGCTGCCCAGTGCTAGGGGGAGAAGGTGTTAGCTGCCAGGAAACCCTGAGCACCGAGCTCTTCAGTTCACCTGGGTGACTCATTTAACCCCCGGTCTTGACTTTCTCTTCTAAAATGAAGGCAAAAATATTTACCTGACTGGCTAAGCAAAGCAGAATCAGCATTTTGGTTGCACACAGCAATGTTTGCATGTTGCACCTTGAATTTTAGGGTATGTTCTTGGCATCAGCATGGCTTTTGGTGTAAACTGGAGGAGGGGAGAGAGGAATTTAAGGTATGCGTGAAGCCTTTTGCCAGTGTAGAGTCAGCAGCTTTAATCAACTTTGTGAGTATTGATATGTATCAAAGAAACTCTTGATGGCAGCGCACCTCAGCTTTTCCTCTGGTCCCCAGAGGGTTTAAAACATTGTGGCTTGAAAGACTTCTCTCCCTGAGAGTGACAGCGGAGAGAGAAGTGGCAAAGGAGACGATGAGAGGGTGTCGCTTGCACGGGGGGACGTGGCACCAGGGAGCAGGGGGACAGCAGCATTGGGGGCCAGCGGTCAGGCTGTCCTTACCAGTGACAATGGAGACCCTCCTGCAGGAGAGACATGGGAGACACGGTAACCCTGGATGCCACCGAACCCTGAGCGCTGATGCTGGCAAATGCCATCCAGGGGTCTCCAGGCTGACAGCTGGTGGAGCTGGAGTTGCCCCTGCAAACCGCCATTGGGAGAGGAGAGGTCGGCAGCGGGGAGCTGCGAGCGGGCTGGGAGCCCGACGGGCCCCGCGCGGGCTGCCTGCCTGAAAAGGCATTTACCCCTCCACAGCGCGTAGTGCCCCCAGCTACGGAGTGGGAAGGAGAGTGTCCCCCTTTCTCAAAGAGGGCTCGGAGGGCAGACGTCCAAAAGGGCCGGGTGAGGGTGGTGGGTATCTTCAGTTACACAAAGACAGCAAGGAAAGATGTGGCAAATCCAGGTGGGACCAAGCACAGGCTGGATGCTGGGAAGGGGTGTTGCTCCTCAGGGCCGGGGGGAGCACAGCTCTCACACCCCGGGCACTGCTTCAAAGCCATAGAAACTTTGGCACCCCAAGGAACAGTCATGGCTCTTAAGTCCGTGTGCCTCACAAGTTCTTCTCCCCAACTCCTGCAAAAATGTTGGCATTGATAAATACAACAGGTCGCTCTCTGGAATTGCCAGAAAATGTGTGAATCCTCTGTTTTCTCCCCTTACGCACCATGTATTTATAACTAACAAAAGCTAGATGAAGCAGAGGGGTGAAGCCGCAACTCTCAGTAAGTCGGTTTTCTTCACCATACAGGAGATGTGCATCGTGGAAGAACCTCTAGAGGAATTCACATCAAGACACAGTCTGGAGTGGAAATTTTTATTCCTGGATCACAGGTTGGTGGCAAGAAAAGCACTCCTGGTTGTGTTCGGTGCTTGTCTACTGCTATTTTCATAAGTGCAGTTCTCTCAGATAGTGTTACATTTCACATCTAAACAGGAGGGCAACCACTGAAATTCCTACAAAAGACGATAGTTATTATTTTACCCTGCATTTATTTTTATCAGTCTTTTCAAAGAAAGCTACTCTCTTTCTCAGGCCGAATTTGTGATTAGCTTGTTCTTGTTTTCTTTAAAAATATCAATGGACCAAAGTCTGTCACATGGCAAAATCATCTAATTGTTATACAGCTGCGGAAATCATTCTTTCCAAAGCCAGCCATTGATTGTGTGTGTGCAGTTCCCACCGAGTTACGGAGGGAAAGTCTGCGCTGGCCTGAGGCAACCATGCTGGCAAAGGTACAAAGCAACGGCCTCAGCACGCCACGGACGAGCTCTGCAGATACCCAGAGGGAAGCGGCACAGATGATCTCCCCTCCTACCCCATCTAGTCCCGGCAGACGATGGCTTCCTACCACCTCGCCATGTGTTTTTCCCCGAGCAGGGATTGCAGGAGCCACAGCAGAGCCCCTGACCAAGGAACAGCCAGGGAACGGCTCCCTCACAGCAGGTTCTAGTGTGAAGGTCCCTGAGCAGCTGAGTTGCTTTCCACAACCGCAATTTCCCTGGAAAGATGGGGTTGTCATGACTTGTCCTGGGGGGAAGGTGCCATGCCCAGCCAGGCATCCCAGGCACAAGGCGGGGGAAAGTCAGGATCTGGTCCCCTGGGGTGGATGACTGTACACCGATGAGCGAGAGCAGATCTGGGCTTTTTGCATATCCATGTCAACATGCAGAACTGCCGTTTCTTTCGTGGTTTATGAATTCACTCATATTGTGCCTAACCGCAGAGCACCGCCGATTATAGGATACTTGCCTTTTGAAGTGCTGGGTACTTCTGGCTACGACTATTACCATATAGATGACCTAGAGCTGCTAGCAAGGTGCCATGAACACTGTAAGTATCGCATAGCCCAGGTTCCTGTGGAGTCACTGGGACACCTCTTTTCAGTGAAATGTAGTTTCAGTTAAAATTGGTTTAAACTTGGAAGGTGAGGTTTGACCCTTGCCTCACGCCTGTATGTCTTAGTGGAGTTATAGCAGATCGGGGGCACCGCAGCTGATGGGCGTCTGGGCCAGACTTATCAAGCTCTGAAAAATACAATTTTACCTTCTGTATCCTCAGAAGCAGTCAGTGAGACTCACTGAATGGATAAAATACACCAGATTAGACACCTGCTCTACTAGTAAAGAATACACAGGCATAGTTCAAGCAATCTCAGAGGAGATCCTATTTTCTCAAATTCTGGCGGATTATTTACCCTAATGTTGTTCACCATGTATTTGGGATTACCTGTGATTATGTAAATATACTCTATTAAGATTTAATTGAAAAACCCTTTCACTAAGTAAAGAAAATGAGGCAATGCTTTTCAAATTTTTGCTTACTGAACTGGCTGGAACATCTCAGCTTACCACCTCTGGGTGTTCTGAAAATATCCCGTCAACATTAGGTTTTGTATATTGACATTAAAATACAGAAAGGCTAAATATGTGCATATTTGGGGACCCCTTAAAATCACTGGGGGAAAAAAGTAGAGACTAATTTTGTTAGTGAACCTTTAAAACCTTTAATACACCCCAGTTTACTGCACTTTGAATTCTTGTCAGTCTGGGAATTTTCTTTCAGTTTCAAATGATTTTTGTCTTTGCACAATGTTATCATCTCCTACACTCACTTCATTCTGCAGAGAATATTCATCTTTTAAAGCATTTTTATCCTGTACTTTTCTGCTATAGAACTTAAGATGATCACTCTTAGAAATTAATCCCAGTTGCCTAATTAAGCAGTATGTGATCAGCACATAAACCAGGGTGAGATCTGTGTTTAAGTTGTAGCAGACGTGAATGCATTAGTGTCCAAAGTTAAGGTTAATTGTACCGTGTAGGAATGTACCGTTCAAAATGTCAGAAGAAGATACCTACTGATCTTTATGATATTTGCTCTATCACACAACTGACAGGACCACTCGCTCGAAAGGTGCTTAGACGCCCGTCTCCCTTGGGAATCGATGGGGCCACAGATATTTTTGTCACTCTTTTCCCATTTCGTGTCATTTTCACATCGGAATTTGCACTACAAGCTGTGTGTATTTTCTGCTGACAGTGATGCAGTTTGGCAAGGGGAAGTCGTGCTGCTATCGCTTTCTGACCAAAGGACAGCAGTGGATCTGGCTCCAAACCCATTACTATATCACCTACCACCAGTGGAACTCCAAGCCAGAGTTCATTGTGTGCACACACATGGTGGTAAGGTATGGAAACTCCTATCAACCGGCGGGGACATAAAGGACAGTAAGATAAGGGCATCCTCATGACTGCCAACATTTTCTCTTAGAAACATGATGTCTTTTATGTAACAAAAATGAAGCCTGAACTCTCTGAAGGAAATACGTTCATTATTAAAAAATGATCAGACTAAACCTTACTTTATGCTAAGCTTGATTTGTCAATCATGAGTTTAGGGGCAGATGAACTGTTGCATTTTTCCATTTTGTGCAAAAATAGGGAAGAGACAGTTACGGGATCTGTAACTATTCACTTCCTCTAATCCTTACATTGCTTTTAAAGAGACGTGTGGAAACTTTCCAATGAAGTTATAAAGTGGTTGTAGGATGTGAACTTGACCTTTATATATACACTTCTTTAATATACTTTTTGACTTCAAGAAGACAGGAACAGAGCAAAAACTGAAAATGAAAACACTTTCTCAAATGTTATTGACTTAAGTGATTTTTCAGCTGTTCATTTAACCAGTAAAGTGTTACAGTAATTTCTTCCTCCACTTGCTTAAAGCACATTTTATGAAAGGTGCCAATACGACGTTGATACGTAGAATAGAATTGTATTTTTCATTCAGTTATGCAGATGTTCGGGTGGAGAGGAGACAGGAGATGGGCTTGGAAGAAGTGTCCTCAGAGGTTGTGTCCTCAGCACTAAAGGTACAAGGAGAAAAGCTTTTTTCATGAATATATGTAGTAATCACAACTTGTTCCTATGTTAACATCAGTGAAGACTCCAGTATTGTCTTTCTGGGTGGATTTCCCCAACTTCAGAATTCATTGCTCACTTGAATAATTTCAAAGTAGATTGGATAAGCTCATGAAAGGATAAACCTGGAGATCAGTAACAGCCACAAATTAAGTGGAATATGGACAGGGGCAACGTGAGATATCTCCACCTTTCCTTGGTGAGGTACTACAGTTTAAAGATTCATTTGGACAAGTTCTGGCAATCGGCCTTGTTGGCTACATCTTAGTGATATGCTGAGGGAAGAAAGAAAAGCTCCTTCTCGGTGCATGGCTGAGTGTCTCAGAGAGGTTGCAGTTGCTGTCACATCCAACTGAACACAAAAGAAAGACTCAGAAAAACATCTGAAGGCACAAAATGACTATGGCAGTAGCTTGCTATTTATTTCCAACTCAGCTCTTTGTAAAATGCATGTTAGATGCTCTTTGGAAGGGACATTGACACCTGTGCCCAGGTCTTCTGCTGGCCTACCTGGGATTACTTCTGCTCAAGTCATTTTAGGCCAGCCAAAGAGCTGGGTGTGCAACCATTACTAGATGCATTTCAAAATGTTTTCACCCTGGCAGATGCAATAGCTATTCCCTTTTTTTTGTTTGTTTTAGGACAGTGGCACCAGCTTGGATCCTGAACAGCACTTTAATGCACTTGATATTGGTGCCTCAATCCTCAGCGCTAGTCGGACACCCTCAGTATCATCCAGGAGCTCACCAAAATCTTCCCACACACCCAAGTCGGACCCAGCATTATTCCTGGGTTACTGCATTATTTTTAATTTAGCCAAGTTACAGAATGTGTGCCTATATACCACAGCTGCTAATTTAACAGTTATTTATGAGGTATCGATGATATGTGTTTGTCACTGACAATGAGGTGCATAATCTGAAATGGTAACGTACAAGAGGGAAGGTTCTAGTGCGCCCATCCATACACTGGAAAATGGGTAGCAGGACTAGCCATGAGGCCTGCTGTTTTGATCTGTTATGAAGATGAGGACTTCTCTCTTCAGATTTGAGAGCATCAGTATAAGCAATGCAAGGCCCCTCTAGACTTACATGAGTAGTAACTGCCTGTGGGTTATTCTCTTCCAGCCAAGATTCAGGATGCTCCAGCCAAGACTTGGGCACACCTTATACACTCCTGCTCCCTGGTCTGGAAGATAAGCCAATGAGCTAACCTAGATTTATAGTTATTCGGCCCATATGAAGGGAGTTCCAGCTGTTTTAGAACAGCTCTTGGATCCTTTTGCTCCATTCATTGGAGCACAGAATAATAACCTGTCTCATTTACTTTTATCTTTGCCCAGGCCCTCCTTATCAGTTTAATTTTACTGCTATTGAAGTCAACAAGAACAGCCTTGACTCCCGCTGGAATTTAGCCAGGCCATAATCATTTCTAGCCAGGTCTCGTTGTAATTCCCACTTCCAACGGGGATGATTTCCAGCGTGTGAGAACTCACCAGCACTTTTCTTGCAGCTACACCGACAAAGCTGATTGCAGAGTCTAACACTCCCTTGCCAAGAACACCAAGCACGCAGCAGGATTTATCCGTGCATCGACTCAGTCAACCTACTGCTCTTCAGGTAACTTCACAAAGAGTCATCAAAATAGGCAGACGGTATAAAGCATGTGCCACATACGCAGCTTAGCAATTAAAAACGACTTATACAGAAGCTGTGGCATTAGAAGAAATCTAAAATTTAAAGGAGCCAAACTTACAAATAAAGTTTTGTTTTGTTTTGTTTTGGTTTGGTTTGGTTTGGTTTGGTTTTTAATCCAGGTTTCTTTGCCTTCTCAGCCTTCATGTGAGCTTCTCCCACAGCAGTTACTGCCTCAAGCAACTCTGCAAAATCAGCCTGCACCTCTGGCACAGGTTAGTTGGGAATTTGAAAGTGGAATAGGTCACTTGCCTATCTCCTGATATTTTCTCCTTTTGGGGCTTTTAGGTTACCTCTTTAGTAGCTACAATCCCCAAATCCACCAGCTTTCAAACACTTAAAATATTGTGGGAAAGTACACTTGTGTGTTTAAACATATATCTGCATACGGACATTCAGCGCAGAAGCCCAGATGCATGTAGGTTCAGGTGCACACACACATCTATTTCACAGGAGGACAAAAAATAGATGGAAAAAGAGTTTTCAACTTTGCTGCTACAGAATCAGGTCCCATCAAAATCAAGGTCACAATGAGAATTAAAACCAAAAACTAACAAAGACACACAGTCCTCCTAAAAACACCTGTTTGGCTGTGCTGATGCAGAACTAACCAGCAGTAAAGGACATGCAAGTTCAACAAAACCCATTTTGTGAGTGTGCCAGTAATGGTGAGGATGCCGCTGGAGACAAATTCCTCCAGTGAAATCTATTAACCCATATCTCAAAAGCGGGTGATGGCCCAAAAAGCCACCTCAGTGTTTCATTTGCAGTGGATTTTGAAGGAGTAGAGTACCATGTTCCCATCACATTGTTTCTCTCCTGAGGTCATGCTGTGATGATACACCCCATCAACCTCTGATTTTAGAAATGACAGAGTAGTCCTGGACCTAGGCTGCTTCTACTATTGGTACTATTGGTACTCTACACGAGATCTCAGAGTTTCTTCCTGTAGCATATAAAACATATAAAAGTCCTGAGGAACCCTGCTTTAAAATAACAAATTCTCATTTATCTTCTAAGTTTAATATTCTTTTCACGACTCCATACCCGCATGCAGCAAAGAAACAGCATATCAATTATCTGCTCTGAGCATTCATTTTCTTTTACAGATATTTCTCTCCATTATTCATTAATACACTTCCAAACATCAATCAGTTTATTTATTATAAACCTGCGCATGTTTTGTTTGACTTTTTTCTACCTCCCTTTCTTCTCCATCAAAGCTCTTTGTGGAGAGATGCTTTCCAGTCGTTTACCGAGAGCCTCGTTGCCTCGCCCCTTCCCAGTAAAACGCCCTTACTGGCACGCCAGCTCCGTTTCCTCTCCGCCAAATCAGAGTGCCGTCCAGTCGCACGGCCACTGGTTCAGCCTCTTTGAACTGGCTAAATCTCGGTGAAAGGAAGAGGGCTGACTCGAGTCTGTCTACACGGGCAGCCCCCTGGCAGCCCTCTCCTCGACTGGCAGCAAAGCCACAGCAATGCTCCTGGCGAAGCTCAAGATGGAGCTTCCCTTGATGTGGAGCAGGGAAGTAGCACCGGGATGTTGCAGCTTAGGTTGCCAAGGCTCACACCCCATAGCGATACTCCTGGGAAAAGTAGCACATCTTCACAGACTTGGGTGATTTTTATAAACTGTTATGAAAATTATGAAACTATTCCCACCTTAAAATAATAAACATGTCAGCCTACAGCAAGATAATCCATTATTTAAAAGACAAGGGGCCTGCGGTGCGAAGCGAGTGAGGGACGAAACCCAGGTACGCGTGCTTCCCACCACGAACATTTCCTCAGTTTCCTAGTTGACCATTTCACAGCAGTTTGGCGGCAGAACACAAGCTCATCGCTTTTAGAAATAGCATGGCCGAGCTGCCGGCCGACGAGGAGGAGCTGCACAGGTTGCTCCCCGCTGCCTTTCTGCCGCTCGCCCTCGGCTGAAGGTGACCGATGGCAGAAGCTGAAAGGCTGATTGCCGAGCCTGGCCACGCAGGGCCCCGGCACTCTGACGGGCATCCTTGCGGCTAACATTCGGCTACGGGGCGGCAGCCAGGGGAGAAGGACATTTTAAGCAGCCACGATTGCTTCTGCAGCGAGCAGCTAGCTCCCGCCTCAGGCGCCATCTGCTTGAACTTTGATTAGTTTCATTTTGAGCAAAGGCTGCGATGTTTTTGTCTCCGCCAAAATGCGGTTTTAGCTTCTGTCTTGCTTCTCTGAATGAACAGACAGCACAGTACTAGATGTCGCCTGAATGTAAATGGTTTACTTTACATCAAGTGCTCCCTATTAGAATATTTGTTTGTTTGCCTTCCTTATTGTAATAAATTAAAATCCCCTACAACACAGCGGATGTTGATGACTGAATAATAATTAGCCCTAATAATCCGTTTGGGATTGCGCAGGTGTTATTCAGAAGACAGAAAGAACGAACAAGTTGTTCGGTGAGCTGCAAAACTAATGAAACCTGGTTTCCCAGGGGCTGCGAGGCTGGCGCATGGACCCAGCCTTCCTCGCAGGAGGGCAACGAGCGGGTCCCTCTCTCCTTTGCTCAGCTATAGCTTTCATGAAATTACAGCAACCTGGTATTTTTGAAACCCTCACAACTCTGTTGCATGTCTCTAACATTGACCAGAAGGATTGAAAATTGAAAGATACGCAGAAAAGAAAGGTTCAAAGGAAACTGGCTAAAAAATAAATAGGGTCTCTTTTCTTTACCCGGCTACCTATTGTCATAAAACCTGTAGGAACAGAATGTCTTTGAGATGTCCATCTTTTTGTTCATCACATCCGGAATGGGGGACCATCCCGACAGACACAGGGGCCGTAGGTCCCCTCTCCTAGCTGCACCCCCCAGCACCTAGAGAGAGGGAGTAACCCTGGCACCCTGCGGAGGCACCCAGCGGAGAGAAATGCCCCTCCTCAGGCATGGTCCAGCTGGCCTCTTTCAGATGGCCATGCTGGCGGAGAGGAGTCCCAGCCCAGAAGTTCTGGTCCCTCTCCCTGGGCTCTACAGCCTGTCTGGACCATCAGCGCCGGTGCATCGAGCCCGGTGGATTGTGCCCATCCCTACCCGAATGTCTGCAGACACAACCCCAAAAGCATCATTTTTTTTTTTAAGAAGCCAGACTAAAATTACTGCTGTGGTTTTTTTGTCTGCGTTAACAAACCTTGATTAGACTGGTGATCCTCTGCAATTATAGATATCTCACAGGTTTAGTCTTCCATGTTTGGCTGCATGTGGAAAGCTGGCACTTTTCTGTCTATAACATGCACTTTTCTGAGGAGCCTACGGAAGTTTGTAAATACCCAAGTGAGACAGACAGCAACTTCACCTGATGCAAATGGCAGAGTTAAAGCTGTGCAGTGTTTTCTGTGAAATGTCTTGAGTTAAGCTCTTTTAATTTATTATACAATTACAGATTTCTCCCCTAATTAGTAGAGCGGCTAATCATCTTGAGACAAATACTCTCTGGTGCAGGTCAATTGCTGCTAGTGTCTCATTGTACAAAAACAATAGAAGCTCTGTAATCACAGGGGTCATGGCTAGAGTTATCAACAAATTTGGGGGGTTGAGAGGGAAAGGGAAAAAAGTGAAAGAGAAAGTTCCTTGTCTTCTTCCATAATGGCTCTTACTCTAGTAGACCAGCTAACTGTTGTTGTTAAGTGTATTAATACAAAAAGCACAAGAAAAAGAGAACAAAAAGACAATACTAGATGAATATGCTAAATATAAGAAGGTGTTGGAAAAAAATTAAGAAATAATAGTTTAAAATCAACAGCAATGTATTTTTGCGTGCAACTTTGCAAAACAAATTCAAATTCAAAACTAAGTCCTGGAAATGGATTTTGTTTCTTATTGAAGTATAAAATGATTATAAAATTATCTGTTATAAAATTCCTTACATTTATTAATTGAAGAAAATCGGGTTCCTTTCCCAAAGTGTCTTCAAGGAGTTTGCACATTAATGAAAAGTCTGCCATCAGCAAGCCAGGCAGTTAAAATGAAGCTTTTGGCTAAAATTGTTTTTAATTCCTTTCTGATAAGGATTCTTTTAAAGACTTAAGAGTAGTCCTTACTAACAGAGTTCATATAGAGAGAATTAAGTTGCGAGACTTGGCTTGTTAAAAAATCCTTCTGTACAGACCCAGGTTAAAGCAGGAATTAGCTGCATCTCATTTAAGCGAGCCGTTGCTACATAGCACCATTCCACTCCTAAAATCAGGGCACCTGGGACTCTTCAGGTCCGCATTCGGACTAGAACAAGCAGCACCGGACGCCCCTTTGAGGCACTTGTCCTTGTTCCCAAACATCGTCCATTCCTTGGGTTAATACTTTATACATGGACTAGGAAAGAAGAGAGACCCTGCTCTGACACTTCTCCCCTTTAACACCAATTCGAAGTAACACAAACTTCCCTTCGGGAGCTTTGACACCATTTTGCTGCTCTGGGGGAGGACCGGGTTGCAGATGACAGTGCTGCTGTTTGAAGGCAAAAGCGCTGTGGATCACAGCGCCGGAGGCCAAGTGCTCACATTGTCTCCTTGGGCAGGCGGTGCAAGCTGCGAGCACTCGCAGATGCCTCTGCCACCAGCGTGGGCTCTGAGGGTCTCTGCCAGCAGCAACCGCATGGGCCACCTTAGCAGCCCTCCTCCCCCCCAGGCAGGGCTGGCCATGAAACTCCCCTCTACTTTGCCACCACTCTTTGAGCGGTGACCTCCCAGATAGTGCGGGAGAGCCACCCTCCACCCGGTAGATAGAAATAAACCCTCTGAAGTTCTCGTCCTTTCTCACCTAAAGGCCATTTACTTGGAGATTTCAGCTTTGCTGGAGGGAATGCGAAGGTATTTCACGTATTTAGCTGGTTTAAGGCAAAGCAGTTAGCTGATACAAATCTGACCTGTCACATCTAGATTTCTCTAGGTAGCCAGAAATTTCATTTAACTGTACAGTGTTGCTAGCACCAGAGCTCTCCTTAATTCCCTTCTTGTAACCCTTTTTGTTTTCCTATTAAAAAGCCAGAAATGGTGTAAGCAGGTGCACCTCCATGGAGCAGGAAGGCTCCAGCAGCGTGCATCAGTTCACCCACTAGCACAGAGCCACTGGAACAACCACAGGAACAGGGCACCATTTTCAACTCACAGCAAAATTATTATTTTTCTTTTGTCTGGACACTCACGGCACCGCATGTTTTCAGAGAAGTCTCGGATGCCTTGATTACAGAAAAGCTTACAGACTTTTTGAAGTGTTTTTTTCCAAAGACTTTTTTATTTTTGGAATATGAGCTCATGCAAAGCAACTATTCCAAAGCCTATCAAAGTTAATAATTAACTTTGATGGACTTTGAATCATACCAAAAACACCAAATAAAACTAGGAGTTTATTGCTGTGTTAGTCCCCTCCGTGCTTATTGAACGATTCCACTTTGTGCCAAGAATTGCTGCTACTGGAGGTTGCACTTTCTTCTTGACCCTGATTAGTGATCTCCATTTTATATTGTTATTTAGAATAGCCTTTCTCCCATTGAGCTGAGCTATTCATTTTACATCACGTATAAAAATAAATTAATGAGTATTTCTTGTAGCTTCACTACTGCTCAGCTGTAGAAATCTAGAAAACGTTTATTGCGGTCAGCTGTTGCATGATGCTATAGTAAGTCATCAGAAGAATAAACCATTGCAGCACTGCTATTTCTGTGCGGAAAAAGGAAAGTGTTAGTAAACCACGTCCAGAATATACAGTTATGCCATGCTAAGGGCTCCAAACTACAGGCTAATAAAAATAATGCACTCATTTCCCATCCAGTTAAGATGCTTTTGATATTTTAAAGTAGCATACTCTCAAAAACACTCCTTCTGGTAATTCCCTAACGGAACAGGGTCAGTTGTAAGCAGATCACTCTAACCGAGGCAATTTAATATATATGTGCATAAAATTGAAAACAGACAAGATTTATCTCTGCCTAGATGTTAGTATATTACAAATACGTCTTTTATTCCTTCGGCTGTGCTTTACAATCAAGAAACCAGTAACTTCTTACAGAACAATGTTCTATTGAGGCTTGTTTGTATTATAATGACTGATTTTCCCCCCTTTTTTCTTTCAGTTCTCGGCACAGTTCAGCATGTTCCAGACCATCAAGGACCAGCTAGAGCAGCGCACCCGGATCCTGCAGGCCAACATCCGGTGGCAGCAGGAGGAGCTCCAGAAGATACAGGAGCAGCTCTGCCTGGTCCAGGACTCCAGCGTACAGGTGCGTCTCTGCTGGGAGGGGCAGAGCCGAGCATCCTCTCTCGCGTGGCCGTTGATAGGGTTGGCAACTTAAAATTAGCTCAAGAGTCCAGGAAATCTGGACATGTGGAAACCAGCTCATCTGAATGAGGATGTTGCCCTCTGAAAGCCTCTTGAGTAATCTATGGCAAGAAAGATTTAAGTGCTCTCTAGAAGAAGAGAAGGAAGAAATATCTCAACCTTAGGAGGAGGAGAAGAATTTGAGTCATTTACAGTAGCATTTTATTACTTTATCTACTGAGTCTTCAGACTGAGCAGCTGTAATAGAAAAGTGTTCAAGTTCAGACTCGGCAATGATTATGTCTCTCCAGATCATTAGCTTCCATCCCGTCACTGCTTGCTTCATGTCGGCCTCACCTGTGGTCAGTACCTTGTCTGTCCAGCTCTCCCTTAGCCAACAGCCCTCCTTCAGGCAGTGCTCATCTCTTTCATCCGCTCCCTGTTTTCCTGACCCTACCCCAGCCCAGATACAGAGCACAAGAGATTAATTTCCTTGTCACGTTAAAAAACCCAAACCTCTGCCGGTGTTCATTTGTTCACACCTGGGAGGTGTCTGAATTTGTTCTTCACTGGACCAGCTTAAGCCTTTGGGGCGAAGCTGACTGAGCCTGCTCTTCTTTGATACCTCCTACACAGAGCTAGAATGCACTAAGTACAGTATCTGCTTTTAATTCGCCAAGTACAGTATCTGCTTTGTACTGCGCCTTATGTCTACCAAACCTCAGAAATAATAGCAAGTGCAGTTCAGTACATCGCAGGTTTCACTTAATGATAAATGGACAAATCATTGAGTTTTATGGAAGTTTTCTGAACGTGGAGTGATTACTGCTATGTATGTTCTTCATAATTTAACTATAAATGCCAGGTTAAATGACCCTTGCTAGAAATGTTGCATTGGGGACCCACTGTGAGTATTGTACAACAAGATTTTTTTAGAAGACAAGCTCTGTCACAGAAACAAATGTCTCAAAGAAGACTTTAAACACAGGATGAAAACCTGGGACCTGCTGAAGTCAGCACGAATTTTGCTCCCAACTTCCACAGAAATAGACTCTCACCCATCATCAGCATCTGTGAAATGCAGTTTCACATATTAAAACAAATTGGGTTTGTATGTTTAGGCAATTAAGGGATCAGTGAAGCCAAATCAGAAACTTTGCCACCTAAGTTGCTGCATGAGCACTGCTGTAAGGCAGCACAGCAATGGTGGGTCCCAAAACCAGGACTCTCTGTTCCTGGTGCCATATAAACATATAGGTGGACCAGGTTTAACTTCAGTGTGTTTCTTCTATTGGTTCTGCACCGACTTTGATTAATGGGAAGGGAAAGTCTCTCTGCAATTAACTGGCCTTCAGTTCAGAATCATGTCATATGTCTGAAAGCTATTATTGTTATTATGAATATCAAGAGACGTGATATTCTCACTTCCGTTCTTTTTAATTGGGTGAAAACCATTACTCTCTCCTGGTAAAGTCTTCAATAGTCACATACACTCATCCTTTTTTTTTTTTTTTGCATAATTCAGGCAAAAATAGAAGATCAGAGCACATTCTTATATGCAGGAAATGGATTTTATTTTTACATAGCTGTCTCCCATATGTGTTATGGTGCATTTAATAACCCAAAGACCGTAGGACAGATTCTCAGATACGCTCATAGGGAGCTCAAGCAGAGAGAAGAGGAGGCCCAGTTCTGTACTGCCCACTCCATACCAGTTTGTAGCTCTGAGTTATACCGTTCGGGTGATCCTCTCCCTGACAAAGACTGTACCAGGTTGAACCAAGAGGAATATATTTTCAGACAAGTACAAGTTCTCTGATGTTAGTGCTGACCATTTCCCTGCTTACTGCAGATGCAGAACTGAGAGGCAGGGGGACTGGAGGGCAGCTCAGAAATGCAGGGGCTGCGTATCTGCCTGAAGGGGCCATGCTGGCCACGGAGGGTCATCCCCTGTAGTTCGGGTGCCTTTCAGTCTCCTCAGAGCAATCTCACAAGGCGATGAGATGTGAGCGGTCACGCTGACTCATGGCCAGGGCCTTTTCCTACTCCCACTTTCTCTAGGATAAAAAAACCCGAAGAAATTACTGTGCTGTTATAGGGATAGAGTGAGACCAGGAATTAGCTTTGTCTTGTTTGGCTAGGGACAACTTAAAAGACAGCCTCACGCTTTTGCATGCAGCACTTTTGTGACTCGCAAGCAGCGAGGAGTAAACTGTTAAATCAGAAATCCAACCACGTGCTTTGCCGCACAGATTTCAACATTCAGAGAGCTGGATGTCTGCAGACATTGATCTGTGTCTATTATCAGAGCTACAAAGCATAGTAGCAAACAGGCGAGCATTACTATCAAGCACATTTCTGGTCTCTTTAATATTCTGTGTAGAAGAGCTGTAAGCATGGGGGAGTGCCATAGGCTGTCTGAAAAGAGGAAAGTGTTCTCCGGTTTCCCCTCGTTAGCTGATTTATTAGCATATCTTCCCCACTGGTTCACTCCCTTCCACACAGAAGTGTACAGGTAGCTCTGCGGAGAATTAAGCCCCATTTCCATTTTCTTCAGAGATCGTCAAAACTGCAGTACGGCAGTCCACCAAGAAACGCTTTCCCAACCGGACAGATGTTGAGCACAGTAGTCTGCGTTAGAAACTATTTCCAAGAGCCTTGTGCTATGAAAGATGAAACTAGCAGGAGGGTTGTGGGCCCTGAACAAAAGTGTTCAAAACTCCATTAAATGCCTGTTACTGCTTTTCCTGACAAACGAAAGTATGAAGGACAGGAGCAGCAAGAGTAACCTCAGAAGTCTGAAGGATGCTATGTGTGCTCCAGATTTGAACAGTCTAGCTAATGAATTGCGGATGGGGAGGAAGGCAGAAGGGCTGAGCCTGACCAGCCTGCAAGAACTACAAACGAGACCATCCACAGCCACCCATCATTTGCAAACCAGGTTCGAAGTCAGTGAATCTCAGCTTCCCAGGGCTGTGCTTCTCATCTGTCCGTATTTTACATAAAGAAGGAGTCTTGATGTCTGTAATGATAAGCCCGAGGGCTATAATCCCCTGATTATCCAAAGGATAGGTAGAGTCAAAGAGCCGTTTTCCTCACGATGTCTTGCCAATGTGATTCATCCATTAGCTGTAGGGACCATCTATCCCCCTAGAATGAGGGGGCAGCAGTGTCAGAGGGTCCCTCCCCTCCCTCGCTGCTTTGCTGCGTATGTTAACAAGCTGGCCAATTAAAAAATATTTGTAAGATGCTTCACTGACCTTGCAGTCTGCAAAATCAGCCATGAGACATGTCATTAGCAGCAGTGCAGTTACGGGGCTGCTAATTTATCTACTTGGATTTGCTCAGACTGGGAAAGATTTCATTCTTTATTAGGGGGCTTCTGTTGTTATTTAAAGCTGCTGTATTTCAGTGTTTCAGGGGAATTCAGGCAGGACTATCATAAAAGAAGCACATTATGAAAAAAACACAGGTAAGTTTTGTACAAATGAAGCATGTTCTTGCTTTTAGTCTTAACTAGCAGGTAGAAATTCCATGCTTCGATCCTCTCTCAGGTTAACTCTTGTTTTGATGTGGCATCTTGAGTCTTCCAGTTCTGCGGGCACACAGGTTAAATGGCACCATCGCTTCCTGCCCTGAGCTTGTTTTTTCCAGGACATTTATGTTCAGATGGTAATAATGCTGCTTTGGCCATTATAATGCAAGAGAGGGTCCCTAGATATGGAACACTTCAGAGCCCTCTCGGTATGAACACATCAACAAACAAAATTGGTTTACTGGGATAAACTTGGTTGTAAATTTATAGCGTGTTAGCTGCCAACCATTAACCGTGCACGTTCCTACCCAGTGGCACAGTCTGGTAATTGCAAAGTGGGTTACTCTGCTTTCTTTCAAGGATAAGCTCCTTGGCCTTCATCTGGAAGTAAGGCATGCACACCGGCAGAGTAAGTCATTTGCCGCAAGTTCACACCCTGCCTGACATTCGCATCGATAGATATTGACTTTGCATTGGATGAACTTAGTATTTCTCCAGCACCGTGTGCCACGTGCAGGGAGGACACTTAAGATAACCCTCCTCAAGGTCTTAATCTGCAGTGATCTGGCCAGTACCAGTGGGCTCACACTCCCCATCACATTTTTGAAACACACCACTTGTTTTACCTGTTCTGAATTTTGTATCAAATGTTTTATATCAAATTTTATATCAATGGCGACCAGTTTCATTGCTAGAGCTAATCAAGTGAGTTCATTTACCAAACATGTCCAAAGCCTAGCTTCTATATACAGAAAATAAACAAGAAAATGAATTTTCATAATTCCTGTCTTTGATTTATGCATAATAAGACCTATTTACTTGGCAGAAGTTGCAAGACCATCTGTCTTTCTGATATGTAATGGCTCCAAACTCAGTGAGCAGTGTTTTTAAAAGAAAACACTCGGAGCTAGTTTCAGACCTGCTGTGAGCAGCCCCAACTCTGTTACTTGACCCATTTATTTCTATCAGACATCTTTGAGATGTGGTTAGCCTACAGCACCTGAAACAAGCCGTTGCTTTAGGTCCATTAACATTTTCATTAACTGCCCCCCTCTCTCAGCTGATTAATGTAAGCTTTGCCTGCACCTTTTTTCTTAGTAAAATCTTGGCACACAGAAATTCATTAAAAATTTATCATATTTAAATAAAAACTATGTTTTAAAAGCTAGATAAGTAAGTACAAATATGATGGATCAACCCATACTTATACAAAGAAAAGCAATGCATTGTGCCGGTCCTTTGGAGAAAGGTATGGGTTTTTTCCAAGAAAAATTAGAGGGGACATGATAGTTTAGGGAATTGTTAATATAGCAATAAGCTGCAGAAAGGTGTACTAATTACTGGGCGTACCTCAGATGTACTGCTAGGCATGAGACTGATGCATGAATAATGAAAAGAATAATTGTGATCCTGATTTCATTTAAACCCCAAGTAGCTCCACTTAAATTAATGGAGTTCCACACGTGTAGCAGTGGTGTGGAATCAGAATCATATCCAAAGATGCCTTCAACTACCTGGAACGCGTACCTCCATACAGTCCTTGGTGGCGAGAGGCTAGGTTTGAAATATTGCGAAGATAGCTTGTAGCATTAATAATTCATAGTTTTAAAAGATGCCTTTTTCCTCTGTACAGCTATAATAAAAGAAATAGCCCCTAGAAAAGCAAAAATTCCCAAGCCCTACAACTTTTAAAGAAGAAAGCCTCATCTTGCAATGCGGGCATGGAGAGTATATCGCTTACAGAAGCACTAACAGAGGAGCTGCTAGCTCTTCTGCACAAGTCAAATGCATGGCACCGTTAGGAAGAACACCGGGTGACAGTTACCTGATGGGAAATCAGATAAATGACAGTGACTGTCTGTTTACACATCTTCTCAATGATAAGGACACAGCCATTCAACACGGACAGCTCTGGCCTGACTGTGGCCTCATTAAAAACATTCGACAACTCAACTGTATGTAAGGTGTTGAATTTCCAGAGACAAATTCAAAAGCAGCCCTGTCTGAAAGGCAGGCTGATTTTGTTGAAAGGAGAAATGAAAGCACTGAAAAGACATGGAGTTACTCTCTTCTTTCTGGTCAGAATGCCCCAGAACATGGTGAATGTACAGGGAACTGCTCTTACAAGGGCTGTGCCTGCCCCACGGAGAGAGGACTTGTACCTTCAGGACACATTTCGCGAGTAATAAGTGCACTTGCAGAACAAGAAATCAAGAAACTAGAGACAGCAGAACTGTTAATGTAGGCAAGACAGGTGATTTCCAACTAACAGGAAACGCGTAGTGAATCCGGAAACGTGATAACTTTATTTTAGAATATATCTCTGGATTTAATTCTGTCACCTTCATTATCCAAGACAGCCAGGCTATGTAAATAAACCCTCCCCCCTTCTTTTCCAGATGTTCCTACAGCAGCCGACAGTGTCCCTGAGCTTTAGCAATACTCAGCAGCCGGAGCCACAACAGCTACAGCAGAGGTCAGGGGCCATTTCTCAGCAGCAGCTTGTCCCCAGTCCTCAACTTCAAGGGCAAATTGCATCTTCGCAAACAGCGAACCAGCAAGCACTGAGAGAACCAAGCGTGATATCGAGCCAGGTAATCATTTCTTTGAATAGAGAGGCATTTATATGGAAAGAAGACGCTGAGCTGTTATTAAACAAGCAAGTAAAATCACGTCAGTCCTGTAAGTGTGCCTTTGCCTTTCCTTCCCTTTTCTCCTACATAAGGGCAGCCTATATAAAGGGTCTCCCTACAGCATTTACTTTACCTTAAGTCCCTTTTCTAAGACCTCAGCCAGGAGGGTTACTTGAGCAACTGTTTCAACCTGAAAATTGAGCATGGGGGCATGCAAAAAGTGTGGATGACCTACTGTTCTTCAGTTGATCCTGAAAGAAACCTGACCGACCACACTGGAAACTAGCAATGGTGGTGTCAGCAGTGCAACCACTCAAAATTAAGCTTTACCCCTGCTTGCTCCCGGAATCCACTCGGACGCCACCAACACAACAAAGCCTGTCTGCTGTGGTGGCACACAGTTGGAATACATTGAGATTTGTGTGAGACCCCCAGGTTGTGAGAATAACAGATTCCTGCACAGGGAAATGAAGTTCAGCCTCAGTTAGTAGTAACTGAGATCTGTGAAAGCTAGTAGGTTTGGCACAGGATTTTATTTCTTACTGCTGGTTTCTTGGCATTTCCAGTTTTTGCTCTTCCACCCACCTGTTGTACCTCCCTTCACAGAAAACTTAGCTCCTATTTCTGCTACCTGAGCGTGCGGCAAACATAGCTGCGTCATTATCTTCAGACCCCTCAGCCGTAGCTTTTAAACTCCCACATACCTGTATTATAATGACTCTATTAAAATAAAAAGTGTATCCCTATTATAAATAGGAAAAAAACACCATTTTTTAGTTTAATAAGGTTTATTCCCATCATTGGGCTTTTATAGCAGTGCTAATCACACCTAGCTTTGCTCTTGTCTTCATGGGGTGTCGTTTGTCTCCTCAACTGCTTGGCGGCACGACCGGGGCAGCTTTGCTTTCACAGCGCTCTAGTCCCAAGGGTTTTGCAGGCCGGTAGAGCAAAGCCT